TATAGTCATTCGATACTACTGCTATAGTCGGTAAATACTACCGTAGAGTCGGTAGATACTACTGTAGAGTCGGTAGATACTACTATCGAGTCGGTAGATACTACCGTAGGGTCGGTAGACAATACCGAAGAGTCTGTAGATAATACCGTAGAGTCGGTAGACACTACCGTAGCGTCGGTAGGTACGACTATAGAGTCGGTAGATACTACTGTAGAGTCTGTAGAGAATACCGTAGCGTCGGTAGACACTACCATAGCGTCGGTAGGTACTACTATAGAGTCGGTAGATACTACCGTAGAGTCTGTAGATAATACCGTAGAGTCGGTAGACACTACCGTAGAGTCTGTAGATACTACCGTAGAGTCGGTAGACACTACCGTAGAGTCGGTAGACACTACCGTAGAGTCTGTAGATAACACCGTAGAGTCGGTAGACACTTCCGTAGAGTAGGTAGACACTACCGTAGAGTCTGTAGATACTACTATCGAGTCGGTAGATAATACCGTAGAGTTGGTAGATACTACTATAGAGTCAATAGATAATACTGTTCAGCAGATTCCACTACAGTCAGTATATACTGCTGCAGAGTAAGTCGATACCACTATAGAGTCAGTAGATACTGCTATAGTCATCAGATACTACTATAGTCAGTAGATACTGCTATAAAGTTAGTAGTTACTACTATAGTCAGTGGATACTACTATAGAGTTAGTAGTTACTACTATAGAGTCGGTAGATACTACTGTAGGGTCAGTAGATACTACTACGGTCAGTAGTTACTACTACAGTCAGTATATACTATACAGACAGTAGCTACTGCAGGCCTCCTTAGATGCTACTGTACTGTCAGTAGATACAACTACAGAGTCAGGATATACTACGATAGTCAATATATACTACTCAGTATTGTGTGTAGGGTGTGTAGGTATATATGCCTATGCGGGGGTAAAAATATTTTTGAAGGGGGGTCAACAATTTTCGGAAATCTTTTAGATCAACTATTTACCCCCCACTTTTTATAACTTTTTGGACTTCTGCAAGCCTCTTATAAGTTTGTTGACGGACAAATGGACAGATGGCACGCCAAAGCTTTCACAATAGCTTAGTATTTGTGTATGTATATGTTGTTTTTAAGATAAGTTTTGAAATATATTTTTCCCCCGGGCAACGCCGGGTACTTCCCGCTAGTATATTATATATAAAATATATATTGTAAAACGGTCTAAACAAAGCAATGGTTTCGATGACAGGGGGCATGCAAGGGATGAGGAATGGGTGACCACGATAGAGGGGTGGATAGGGGTTAAAAAGGGTAGGGGAGGGGGTCACGAGAGGGGTGATGTAGGGGATAGGGAAGGGTATGGGAGGTGGTCACAGTTGATGGGAATAAGTAGAGAGGAGAGGGGATGGAAGAAGGGAATGGACAATGGAGACGAGGCGAGGCTTTGAGAGGAAGGGAAGGAGGTGAAGGCGGAGTGGGATTGCTCAATGTTCGAAGGCACGGAGAGGGAGGGAGAATGGAAATCGTGTAGAAGGTGCGGCGCCATCTTTATGGCGTATAATGTCTTGTACCCTATTGTTCTAGCACTGCGGTTGGCAACCTGCGGTTCCGGAGCCGAGATGTGGCTCTTTAAAATTCGAACAAAAAGGCTATTGTTTATTTTGGGTGCCGACCCCTGACCACAGAAGTCTAGTTCACCATGAAAGTTCAGTTTACCATGGGCAGGGGTCGACAACCTGTGGCTCCGGAGCTGTGAGTGGCTCATTAAGGACTGCATCGTGACGTTATTTATTAAGGACCACCATCGTCTCGTATTCACATAGCATTGCACCTCTTGAAAGGCAGTCGTGTTCTACTACAAGGTGGTAAAATAATGTAAAGCATAGTCCGCGATAACACGCGAGATGCGTGATGCAGAATTGTATAAAGACCGAGGCCCCTGTGTTGCATCTAGAAGCATCCGGCAGAATCCCAATGCCTTGTGTGAGGCAGCCGTACGACCGTTTATTCCTACTCGCGCCGAGACGTATTGCTCACTCAATCGCGTTCTATACAATTTGCATCCGCGTCAATTTGCATCCCGGGTTATAACAGAAAAAAATGTGCCCTCGTGCATTCAACGCGTTACGTGCAATTCGCGTTATCAAAACTACGCGCTGTGGGAGAACAGACTGTATTATTCTTTTACAGAATCCGAAAATTAAATGTATCTTCGTGTCGATTCTGTTGCCGACCCTCTGAGCTAGCAGCTCGCCCGCGCCTCTATAGAGGTGGGCGGGCTATGGGTGGAAAGGCGGGGCTGGCGTAGCGAGCAGTGGTCCTGATTGGCTGATTGGGGGAGTGAGAGGGGGGAACCATTTCATTTGCATCTGACGTCACAAACGGATAACCGACCCTCGCAAGTGCGAGTCCACGTGTGAATTGTTTAGTGCGGGGCCTTGTAACACGGCTGGCAGTGTCCAAGGTGTCGTGAGAAACATTGACAGACTAAGTTTTAAAAAAACACAATTATAATTCTTCTGAAAAGTATGTGGGTTTTTTTTTTAAACGTGCGAGACCTTAAGTGTGTAATAAACTACTTACACGACGGGTTGAGACTTGCGTCCTTTCTTTATTTAGTGACAACTGCTCGGTACCGCACTCCCTTCTGGTCACCCTCCCTCTCTCTCTGCTCTGCATGCGCGTGCTCACTGCTCCTCCGTTCCCACGCAGTGTCCCTCGCGCTCTCTCTCCCGCGCACCGCTGGTTGACGGCGCGCAGCGAGAGGGCTGAGCTTCGGCCCTCGAGGCTGCCACGTGGCCGGTGGTGTGACGAGATGGCGGAGATGCAGTCCGGACTCCATGCTCCCCCTGCCTCTCCTTATATCCCTCTAACCACGCCCCCCTCAGAACCTTCCCGATGGTTCCTCCATATACCCACGAGCTCCGCCCATTAACATTGGCCCAGATGGAACCGTTAGCACTGATTGGCTATGACTGAGCCCTCCGTCGCCCATCGGTGCGCTCCCTCATTACAAGTGGATGCAATTGTTTGTTGTTTTGTAGATTGAGAAATATCTCACCTGAGTGAAAAGTAGGCCACGTCTATTGTCCAATCCTGGCCAAGCTGACTCAGAACTTCATACATTAAATGCCAGCTCACTCTCTCTATGTCGTAAGATTGCCCGTATAGCCACAACAGACCATTGGGGAAAGTGCTGGTTAACAAGCAGAACCTATGAAGGCCGGCACGGCACACTTGGGGGTGGGTGGCGAGCACCACACCCTGCCGCCTTTGTTTATCCAATTCTGATGTTTACACATTGTACCAGGTTCTCATTAAAGGCCGGGCCAACCTAGGGGAGGTCCAGGATGGGTTTAGATATTCATCACCGATGTTGAACTTGTGTCGTAGAGTTCGTAACGTAGTGCGTTAACCACTACACTTCCGCTCTCCCCCACTATATATATATCTATCTACATCTATACAGATGTTGTATCCAGCCAGGATATATAATTGTGAATAAGTGTCCCGTACTGCGCGAAGCTGGGACTGACTTGTGTTTACGGTCACCGAAACGATTACACAACATTTAGTCATCATCATCGCCATCCGAATCACGCCATAACTTTACAGCCACGGACGGAGAACACAAAGGCCCCCATCGACGAGTCTGGGGCTAAACTCCACGGACTGATCAATCTACCTTCAAAACAACACACCGATGATATGGGGGAGGGGGGGGGGGTCATTAGACATCGTGTGAGTTCGGGAAGACGCTGTAATTGGGCGAGGCGTTCGGTGTTGTTCGTGTCACTGGATGTTGATTGTTGGCCAATGATGTCACAACGTGTTTAATGTTTTTCATCCCTGCTGCCCCGTGTAACCCCCCCCCCCCCCCCCACCTGTGCAATGTACTTCGATGCCCCCTTTTATTGAGGGCGACATTGGCACGTGAGATGAAATAATATTGATCGATCAGCGGACGATTGGCCTCGTCTCACGGGCCCGTGCCTGACGCCGGAGCGACCACTCGGCTATAAACGCCTCCGGCAAGCTTGTCAAACGCCACGAGAAAGGAGCGGCCGCAACGACCACCACTTTGACACTCTCGTTTATGAAAAGTTTTAAAAGCACAATACAAAAGTCCGCTCCGCCATCGGGACATGGACACGCGCGACCGTCTCAATGCGTTGCATATGTTACAGAAGAAGATTACATTGGAATCGTCCGGTCACTCGCTCTCTCACTCGCTCACGGAGTATTCACGACGTGCGACACCGGCTGACTCGCTCGCTCGCAGGGCAATCACGAAGTATTGCACGAGCCCATTCGCTCGCTCACCGACTCGCTCGCAGGGCAATCGCGATGGACTTGAATTGACACGTTGGGGGGGGGGGGGGGGGGCACTGGAGACACGTAGACCCGAGGCGCGGGGGGAGGGGGGGGGCACCCACGACGGAAGACGGGAAGGTCACGGGGGTACGGTGGTGGTCATGCCCCCCCCCATCTGAGCAGGCGCTTCTCCGTGTTCTTCCACGGAGAAAATACCGTTGTATTTTTTTTTTTTACGAAAAATACACAAATGTATCTACACTTACATCATTAGACCTCCTTTGCCAGTACGAAAATGTAATAATAGGGTTTTTCCCCTTTTTTCCGGCAACAAAACTGAAACCTTTTTTTTTTACGAGGATTCATGCCTGCATTAACCACAATACCTGCAGTCAAAATGCGAACATGAATTGTAGAAGGCTCGCTGCTGGCAGGAGGTCACGAACCCAAGTGCCATGGGCCGACTGACTGAGACGGCCGGCAGATGCACCACCCGTGTGCTCCCCCCTACTGTGCCAACTCACTGTGTTTTATCCGCCCGGAGCCCCGCTCGTTGTTGTGAGCGTCCCTTCTCCGCCCTTCGCTGTTGATGGAAGGCGACTGCCTCCCACTGCCCAGCAGCGTCCTTCACGAGCCTCCTCAACGACACCTGACACACGCGCGCACACGCTGCAACACGCGCGACCCCCCCCCCCCCCGCCCCCCGCCCCCCGCCCCCCGCTCACAGCCCGCTGGCAAACTCGGAGAGGATGAGCTCCTTGAAGGCCGTGTGCCGCTTCGGCTTCGCTTTCGTCGCCGGCCTGCGGAGAGCACGGGCGCACGGTTAGAGGGGGCACGGTTAGAGGGGGCACGGTTAGAGGGGGCACGGTTAGAGGGGGCACGGTTAGAGGGGGCACGGTTAGAGGGGGCACGGTCGGCGCTCGCTGACCATTAGCCACGTGAATCTGCGCCGCCACCACCACCACCACCACCCACCACCATGACCACAACCAACAACAACCACCACCACAACCAAAACAAAAGCCACCAGGATCACCACCACAATGACCATGACCATGACCAAAACCAACAACAACCACTACCACCACCACCACCACCACCCACCACGATCACCACCACCATGGCCACGACCATGACCACAACCAACAACAACCTCCACCACAACCAACACAAAAGGCACCACGATCACCACCACAATGACCACAACCAACCACCGCTATAACCACAACCACCACAACCCACACGAAATCCCCCATGACCACCACCACCACCACGTGTGTCACCTGTGTGATGGCATGCATCCCACCGTGTATGATTACGTGCGTCACCTGCGTGCGATTACGTCCATCCCCTCCGTGTGTGCATCCACCTGCGTGCGTGCGCGTCATCCCGTGCGTCATCCCGTGCGTCATCCCGTGCGTGCGTCACCTGTTCGCGCGCGTCCCCGCTGCCCGGCGTCCCACCGCACCCCGCTGCTTCCCCGCCAGCTGCCCGGGCGCTTCCCTGAGCCCGAAGCTCTTGGCCGCGTGGCCCAGGTGCAGCGAGCGCACGTGGAACACGTGCTTGAGCGACGCGGGGTAGGTGGCGTACGCGCGCACGTACGACTGGTACGCTGTGACGCACGCACAAAAAACAGCACGGCAGCCACCGTGAAGCCTCTACCGCTCTCCGGCGAGCGTCGCGCCTATCCGACGGGCGGTTTCTGCTCGCCCGTGCGCCGAGTCTATATGGGGTGGGATTTACAATCGGCCGATCCGCTGTGGGAATTGTAAATCCACGCCCCCCCCACCCCACCCACGCCCACGCCCCCCATCAAAGGTGTGTGTAGTGTACAGCACAGGTGTGTGTAGGGTACATCACAGGTGTGTGTAGGGTACAGCACAGGTGTGTGTAGTGTACATCACAGGTGTGTGTAGGGTACATCACAGGTGTGTATAGAGAACAGCACAGGTGTGTGTAGAGTACATCACAGGTGTGTGTAGTGTACATCACAGGTGTGTGTAGGATACATCACAGGTAGGGTACAGCACAGGTGAGTGTAGTGTACATCACAGGTGTGGTATAGGGTACATCACAGGTGTGTCTAGAGTACATCACAGGTGTGTGTAAGGTACAGCACAGGTGTGTATAGAGTACAGCACAGGTGTGTGTAGGGTACGGCACAGGTGTGCGTAGTGTACAACACAGGTAGGGTACATCACAGGTGTGTGTAGTGTACATCACAGGTGTGTGTAGGGTACAGCACAGGTGTGTGTAGGGCACATCACAGGTGTGTGTATAGAGTACAGCACAGGTGTGTATAGAGTACAGCACAGGCGTTTGTAGGGTACATCACAGGTGTGTGTAGTGTACGGCACAGGTGTGTAGAGTACATCACAGGTGTGTGTAGTGTACATCACAGGTGTGTGTAGGGTACATCACAGGTGTGTGTAGGGTACATCACAGGTGTGTGTAGTGTACGGCACAGGTGTGTGTAGGGTACATCACAGGTGTGTGTAGGGTACATCACAGGTGTGTGTAGGGTACGGCACAGGTGTGTGTAGAGTACATCACAGGTGTGTGTAGTGTACATCACAGGTGTGTGTAGGGTACGGCACAGGTGTGTGTAGAGTACATCACAGGTGTGTGTAGAGTACATCACAGGTGTGTGTAGGGTACATCACAGCTGTGTGTAGGGTACATCACATGTGTGTGTAGGGTACAGCACAGGTGTGTGTAGGGTACATCACAGGTGCGTGTAGTGTACAGCACAGGTGTGTGTAGGGTACATCACAGGTGTGTGTAGGGTACATCACAGGTGTGTGTAGTGTACAGCACAGGTGTGTGTAGAGTACATCACAGGTGTGTGTAGGGTACGGCACAGGTGTGTGTAGGGTACGGCACAGGTGTGTGTAGTGTACAGCACAGGTGTGTGTAGGGTACATCACAGGTGTGTATAGGGTACAGCTCACGTGCGCACCTTTCTTAGCGAGCTGCAGGTGCTCGGGGCTGGAGTGAGTGAAGCTCTCAAACTGCAGCTGCATCTCGGTGGCCTTCTCGTGTGCAGCCTGCCTCTGCTGCGCCGCCTCCCACTTACCCTGCACGCAGACAAAGACAAAGGTCCCCCGGGTAGCCTGAGCAGACCGTTGGGGCAAGGGCTGTCGCCGAATAACATCTATGAAGGCCGGCACGGCACACGAGGGAGGAAGGTGGCCAGCACCACGCCCGGCCGCCTTTGTCTCCCCCCAGTGGCGATGTTTACACACCGCACTCATCGCTGTTATTGGTCGTTAGCGGGAATCGAACTTGGGCCGCCGGGTTTGTAACCGCTGCAGTACCACTCCCCAAAAACAACCACCGCAGTTCACCACTAAGTGGCGGTGACGTCACCACGGCGCCTGTGCCAGGCTAGGTGCACTTTACGGGCATGTGAAGTGTCGAAGGGCCCGCTGGCAGGAGGTCACGGGACAGACCCCGGTGCCACGGGTTACTAAGATCACCGGCTGATGCACCAGATAGATGCCTGGCAGTGGCAACATCAGAGCTCCCACTCTGACAACTTTCTGCATTTTAGCCGCCCGGTGCTCCGCTCATTGTTGTGAGCATCACGCCTCTGCCCACACACGGACACACACAAAGACAAAACTCCGCCGTATAGCCTAAACAGACTGTTGGGGCAAGTGCTGTTCGCGAGCGGCACCAATGAAGGCCGCCATGAAACACGATGGGGTGGAGGACGGCCAGCACCACGCCGTTGTCTCCCTAGCGGCGATTTTTACACACCGCACCAGGTGCTCATTTTGAGGCTGATTCGACCGAGAGGAGGGCCCCGTTCGTATATTTGTAACGCAGAGCGCTAACTGTTACACTATGCAGAAAAACACAAACATGGACACACAACAACAACAACAACCGCCATTCGCCACTAAGTGGCGGTGACATCACCACGCCGCTTGTGCCAGGCCATGTGCAGGTTCAGGCCACGTGAAGTGTCGAACGCCCGCCGGCAGGAGGTCACGGGGCAGACCCACCAGGTGCCACTGGTCGACTGACTGAGATGACCGGCCGATCCACCACCTGTGCCCCCCTACTGTGCCAGGCTAGGTGCACCAGGAGGTCACGGGGCAGACCCAGCAGGTGCCACGGGTCGACTGACTGAGATGACCGGCCAATCCACCACCTGTGCCCCCTTACTGTGCCAGGCTAGGTGCACCAAGAGGTCACGGGGCAGACCCAGCGGGTGCCACGGGTCGAATGACTGAGATGACCGGCCGATCCACCGCCTGTGCCCCACTACTGTGCCAGGCTAGGTGCACCAGGAGGTCACGGGGCAGACCCAGCAGGTGCCACAGGTCGACTGAGATGACCGGCCGATCCACCACCTGTGCCCCCCTACTGTGCCAGGCTAGGTGCACCAGGAGGTCACGGGGCAGACCCAGCAGGTGCCACGGGTCGACTGACTGAGATGACCGGCCGATCCACCACCTGTGCCCCCCTACTGTGCCAGGCTAGGTGCACCAGGAGGTCACGGGGCAGACCCAGTAGGTGCCACGGGTCGAATGACTGAGATGACCGGCCGATCCACCGCCTGTGCCCCCCTACTGTGCCAGGCTAGGTGCACAGACGCACGCACACAGAGCCACGTACCCGCTTGGCCCGGCCGCCAGAGTTCCCCAGCAGAGTCCTCAACACCGACTCCATCTTGAGCTCCCGCAGGCTGCCCTCACACGCAGGCACGGCACACACACACACAATAAGTACACGCCGGTAAACACACACCATGTACACGCATGGTACCCACCACGTACACACACGGGTACACACAACACCGCAAACACACACACCACGTGCAGATAAACACACCACATATACACACGTGTACAAAACAAACACACACACACAAACACCAGGTACACGTCAAACACAAATACACACAAACACTACACACACAAGCAACATCAATAACCGCCAGTTTCCACTGAGTGGCGTCAGCACGGCGCTTGCACCGTGCTGGTGAGTGGCGGTCAGTGTGAGTGTCGGTGAGTGTGAGTGTCGGTGAGTGTGAGTGGCGGTGAGTGCCGGTGAGTGTCGGTGAGTGTGAGTGTCGGTGAGTGTGAGTGGCGGTGAGTGGCGGTGAGTGTGAGTGTCGGTGAGTGTGAGTGGTGGTCAGTGTGAGTGGCGGTGAGTGCCGGTGAGTGTCGGTGAGTGCCGGTGAGTGTCGGTGAGTGTGAGTGGCGGTGAGTGGCGGTGAGTGTGAGTGTCGGTGAGTGTGAGTGGCGGTGAGTGTGAGTGGCGGTGAGTGGCGGTGAGTGTGAGTGTCGGTGAGTATGAGTGGCGGTCAGTGTGAGTGGCGGTCAGTGTGAGTGGCGGTGAGTGCCGGTGAGTGTGTCGGTGAGTGCCGGTGAGTGTGAGTGTCGGTGAGTGTGAGTGGCGGTGAGTGTGAGTGGCGGTGAGTGCCGGTGAGTGCCGGTGAGTGTGAGTATCGGTGAGTGTGAGTGCCGGTCAGTGTGAGTGCCGGTGAGTGCCGGTGAGTGTCGGTGAGTGCGAGTGCCGGTGAGTGTGAGTGTCGGTGAGTGTGAGTGGCGGTGAGTGCCGGTGAGTGTCGGTGAGTGTGAGTGGCGGTGAGTGTGAGTGGCGGTGAGTGGCGGTGAGTGTGAGTGTCGGTGAGTGTGAGTGGTGGTCAGTGTGAGTGGCGGTGAGTGCCGGTGAGTGTCGGTGAGTGCCGGTGAGTGTCGGTGAGTGTGAGTGGCGGTGAGTGGCGGTGAGTGTGAGTGTCGGTGAGTGTGAGTGGCGGTGAGTGTGAGTGGCGGTGAGTGGCGGTGAGTGTGAGTGTCGGTGAGTGTGAGTGGCGGTCAGTGTGAGTGGCGGTCAGTGTGAGTGGCGGTGAGTGCCGGTGAGTGTGTCGGTGAGTGCCGGTGAGTGTGAGTGTCGGTGAGTGTGAGTGGCGGTGAGTGTGAGTGGCGGTGAGTGCCGGTGAGTGTCGGTGAGTGTGAGTGGCGGTGAGTGGCGGTGAGTGTGAGTGTCGGTGAGTGTGAGTGGCGGTGAGTGTGAGTGGCGGTGAGTGGCGGTGAGTGTGAGTGTCGGTGAGTGTGAGTGGCGGTCAGTGTGAGTGGCGGTCAGTGTGAGTGGCGGTGAGTGCCGGTGAGTGTGTCGGTGAGTGCCGGTGAGTGTGAGTGTCGGTGAGTGTGAGTGGCGGTGAGTGTGAGTGGCGGTGAGTGCCGGTGAGTGCCGGTGAGTGTGAGTGCCGGTCAGTGTGAGTGCCGGTGAGTGCCGGTGAGTGTCGGTGAGTGCGAGTGCCGGTGAGTGCGAGTGCCGGTGAGTGCGAGTGTTGGTGAGTGTGAGTGTTTGTGAGTGCCGGTGAGTGTGAGTATCTGTGAGTGCCGGTGAGTGTGTCTGTTAGTGTCTGTGAATGTAGGTGAGTGCCGGTGAGTGTGAATGTCTGTGAGTGGCGGTGAGTGCCGGTGAGTGTGTCGGTGAGTGCCGGTGAGTGTGAGTGCCGGTGAGTGTCTGTGAGTGCCGGTGAGTATCGCCGGACGCGTGCCTGATGCCGCGCTCCGCGAGCACGGTGAGGAACTCGAGCTCGGACGGCGCCAGGAAGAGGACGCTGCTGCCGCGGTGGCCGATGCGCGCCGTGCGGCCCACGCGGTGAACGTACTCCTCCACGCTCGCCGGGGCCATGTACTGCACGCACGCACGCACGCACACCGCAGCAAAAGGTGCCCCGGGTAGCCTTCGCAACGCTGGCGGGGCAAGTGGCGGCAGCGAGCGGCGGGCAGCCTGCGAATGCCGGCTAAGTAAGGAGGGGCACAATGACCAATCCAAAATTGCACAAACACGCGGGGCAGGCATCCACGCACGCACAAAGAAAGACAAAGATCCCCCGTGCAGCCTTAACAGACTGTCGGGGCAAGTGCTGTTTAGCGAGCAGCACCTGTGAAGGCCGGCGCGGCACACGAGGGGGTGGGTGGGTGGCCAGCACCACGCCCGACCGCCTTTGTCTCCCCAGTGGCGATGGTTACGCACCGCACCAGGTACTCATTTGAGGCCGAGTCGACCTCGGAAAGGCCCAGGACCGGTTCAGATAATCATCACCGGCATTGGTGGGTAGCCAATGCCGGTGATGATGATCGCACGCACCACAGGCAAAGGTGCCCCGTTATAGCCTTTACAACACTGTTGGGGCAAGTGCTGTGAGCGAGTAGCAGCACCTGAAGACGGGCACGGAAAGTAAGAGCGTGGTGTGGTCTGAGCCACGGCTGGCCAGATATAATCATCACCTGGTTTGGTGGACCCTGCGTCACTGCTCCTGCAAAGACGCACTCACTCACCGACCCACTAACTCGCCCACTCGCCAACTCTATTCACTCACTCAAGCACTAACTCACCGACCCACTAACACACCCACGCGCCAACTCACTCACTCACTCAAGCAATCATTCACCTACTCGCTCACCAACCCTACTTACTATCATCCACTCACCGACCGACTCTCTCACTCACCCACCAACCCACTCACTCACCCACTCATTCACCTACTCACCTACTCACTCACCCACTCACTTACATGCCCACTCACCAAGTCACTCACCCACTCATTCACCTACTCACCGACTCAGTCACCCACTCACCCACCAACCCACCCACTCACTTACTCACCCACTCACCAACTCTACTCACCCACTCACTGTCCAACTCCCTCACATGCCCACTCACTCACCCGCCCACTCAATCACCCACTCACCAACCATACCCACTCACCCACAAACCGACCGACTCACACACCCACTCACCTCACACTCACCAACTCTACTCACTCACCCACTCCCTCACCCACCCACGCACTCGCCCACTCATTCAATCACCCACCCAGCCGCTCACCCAACCACATGCCCACTCACTCACCCACCCACCCACCCACTCGCCCGCCCACCCACTTGCCCGCCCACTCACTCACTCGCCCACCCACCCACCCACTCGCCCACCCACCCACCCACTCTCCCACCCACCCACCCACTCTCCCACCCACCCACCCACTCGCCCACCCACCCACTCACCCACCCACCCACCCACCTGTACAATCCACGATACCCGCGGGAGGTCCAATCCTCGCGCCGCAACGTCCTGGTGTAACAAACACACAACGCCGGCGCCCACGATTAGTCAGTCAATGTTATCAGTGGGCAACGGATATTGGTGAGCCAGAGTTATCAGTGAGCCACTGTGATTGGTGAGCCGCTGTGATTGGCCGGCCGCCATCATTGGTCAGCCACGGAGATTGGTGAGCTGCTGTGATTATCAAGCCACCGTCATTGTTGAGCCAGTGCGGTTTCAGCGAGCCGGCACGACTGCCTTGCCAGCGACACTGCCCAGCAGACCCAGCAGGAGGGTGCCACGTGCTTACCGTGCACACGAGCACCCCGGAGCGTGCCTTGCAGAACGAGTCGAACACCTCCATCCGCTCCTGCAGGAACCGTGAAAATCAGAAACTCCGTTTAGACTGGAAGGGAGGAATCTGAAGAGCCACGAAGCTCTTCGTGTCAGATGTCCAGGACGAAGAAGAACGACGCGCTGCCGGGCCCCGGTGTCGCCCGCTCGCACCGATGAAAACGAAGGATCGCCTTTACTATTCCGGCAACAGTCGTGACCAAAGACAACCCATATATCGAACCATTAATCGTTAACTGACGCTTTGGCATTCATGTTGCCTCCGTGCGGTCCGCCTTTTGCCGTTGTTCTCCGGCCTGACACCGGTGCGGAGAGGAGGCCATCAAGGGGCCTGCAGCTCGGGGTGCAGGCCAATCAGCGTCAAGGACAGGGCATTACTTTGCTTTACTACAAGCGTGATCCAAAACTAAAAACTTCACCGAACATTTTTTTCTTCTATTTTTAAACTAAACCATTTTTTTTATTGTACCCGGGGGTTAAGGCCCACTGAGCCGTGTAGCTCACTTTCGGAAGCGACCTGGCCTTATCACAAATGATAGCTCGACAAAAGTGGCTTATCATCACGTGGAAATTTATAGCAGTGGCGAAATCCTCTGAAGGCGTGGACGCGCGATTCGCGCTTTCGAATCGGCGGATCCTCCGGAAAAACTGTAGCCGGAGAAAATTCCACGCGGAGAGCGAGAGAGAGAGACACGCAAACTCCAAATATACAGCAGCAGCGTCAGGGTCGGGATCGAACCCACGACCTCCTGTATACCAAGCGAGGTAGTCAACATCTCCTAGCCACCGTGATGATGATGAGAGAGAGAGAGAGACACGCAAACTCCAAATATACAGCAGCAGGCGTCAGGGTCGGGATCGAACCCACGACTTCCTGCATACCAGGCGAGGGAGATAACATCTCCTAGCCACCGTGGCGAATGCAGACCCGTTGGCTTACCCACTGAAACCTCGATTCGTATATTCTATCGGTATAGCGAACTTCGCATTTTTTACACGGAAAGCCAAAGCTGCAGTAAAAATACATGAACGAGAACACAAATTGACGGTTCTCCACAATGCATGACGTTACTTTCACCGCACGTCCTTTGCTCGCAATCCGAAGGGTGACCGTGAGCAAAGTGCGAAACGGAGAGCGGTTCACTCCGCGCCGTTGGAACCTCCCACGCCGAAGGTGTTCCCCTCATGGGGGTCCCCCACTTGGGGTTTTTGAACGTCTTTAAACACCTGCGCGATTATTGCCGGACAGCGTGAAGCCCGCCTACCTATCGATATCGATTATTCATTCGTTGGTTCGGCTTGTCGAGTGCCCCCACCCCTGCTGCTTCGTGTCAGTCGGCGAGCTCCCGTTGGTGCCGCCCCCCCCCCCCCCCCCCCCCGCTCCCCCTCCGCTCCACCCACCTGCTGATCCACGCTGCCGTGGAGACGCCACAGGGCGACCTTCGGCGGTCCCTTCCCCTCCCCATCATCGTTCTCCTCGTCAGCATCATCATCATCATCATCACCTCCTCCTCCGAGACGGTGGCCGAGCACCGTGAAGTGGAACTCGGCGGCCTCGCGGCTCGACACGAACACCACGAGCTTGGCCTCGTCCTGGCACTGCACACGGACAGCGGGCGTCAGCCCACCGCGGCAACGGCGGTGATGGTGGCGGCAGCGGTGGCGAGTGAAGATGACGATGACGAGGGCGACGATGATGGCGATAATTATGACAAAGATGACGGCGATGGTGATGGCGACCACGAAGACGATGATGACAGTGATGACACAACCATGACGACGGTGACGACCATGACGACGACGACCATGACGACGACGATGACGACGACGATGACGACGACGACGATGACAACCATGACAACCATGACGACGACCATGACGACGACGATGACGACCATGACGACGACGACCATGACGACGACGATGACGACGACGATGACAACCATGACGATGACCATGACGACGACGATGACAACGATGACAACCATGACGACCACCATGACGACGAGGATGACGACGACGATGACGACGACAACAACCATGACAACCACCATGACGACGACGACGACCATGACGACGACGACCATGACGACGACGACGACCATGACGACGACGACGACGATGACAACCATGACGACGACCATGACGACGACGACGATGACAACGATGACAACCATGACGACCACCATGACGACGAGGATGACGACGACGATGACGACGACAACAACCATGACAATCACCATGACGACGAGGACAACCATGACGACGACCATGACGACGACGATGACGACGATGACAGCCATGATGACGACCATGACGACGACGATGACGACGACGATAACAACCATGACGACGATGACGACGATGACAACCATGACGACCACCATGACGACGAGGATGACGACGATGACAACCATGACGACGACCATGACGACGAGGATGACGACGACGATGACAACCATGACGACGATGACCACCATGACGACGAGGATGACGACGACGATGACAACCATGACGACGACGACGACGATGACGACGACGGCAACGACGACGACGACCGACGCCCGATCCCTGAAGGAGAATGAATCACCGCACGGCTACCGCAGAACAACTCGGGCCACGAGCAAGGCACGCCGACGGCTCACCGCTCACCTTGGCGAGGATGAACGAGGTGAGCGTGACGAGGCGCAGTTTGCTGGGCACCGTGATAAAGTGCTGAGCGAGCCCGGGTGGCATCGAGATCTTCGTTGGTCCCTCCTTCTTCCCTGCCACCTCTTTATTTGCCTCCTCCTGCTCCTCCTCTTCCTCCACCGCCTCCTCCTCCTCCTCCACATCCTCGTCCGCCTCCACGGCCGCCCCCGTCCGATGGGCCCCACCGTTCGTCGTCGCGGCAACGACCTCGCCCCCGTGCGTTTCCACGGTTACGCTCACGGGGTCGTCCAGGAGGATGCCGGCCAGCCACGTGACCCCTGACGCACGCACGCACACGCACATAGAAAAACATCCCCCGTATAGCAAGTGCTGTTAAGCGAGCACCTATGAAGACTGACACAGCACACGAGGGGGTGGGTGACCAGCACCACGCCGGGCCGCCTTTGTCTCCCCAGTGGCGATGTTTACACCCCGCACCAGATACTCATTGAAGGCCGAGCCGACCTAGGGGAGGCCCAGGACCAGTGGTGGCCGCGAGCGGGAATCGAGCTCGGGTCGCCGGGTTCGTAGCCCAACGCGCTGACCCGCTACACTGCCGCTCCCCACACGCATGCACCCATACACGCACGCGCACGCACACGCATGGGCTCTCGCAGCCGAACGCCGGGCGGCGCCGCAGACGGCCAAGGCCGTGGCAATAAACACCGCGCCGATTCCCATGACGACCGCGATGGAGCTCGCTAACACGGCCATCGCCGCCAGCACCACCGCCGCAAGCACCACCACCACCAGAAGGCGAGTGCTCGTGATTTTAACACATAGGAGTCGGCTTTCACGACCAATATTATCCGTAATAAAGAGTTTTTTTTTTTTGGGGGGGGGTTAGAGCACTTGAATGTAAATGTGTCGTTAAACCCACCAAAGCACCCGACACAGCCAACTGTGGTAAAGGTTCGTCACGTAAACAAAACAAAGTAACAATTATCTTCTTTGGTTCTTTCGGTAAAGTCACGTAGAATGAGAATAAAATAATAAATTGATAAAATAAAATAACACAATGAGAATATTATTGTGTTATTTTATTTTATCAATTTATTATTTTCTCATTCTACGTGACTTTACCGAAAGAACCAAAGAAGATGAATCATTGCAGTCACGAAAGCTTTAAATCGAAAAGTAACAATTAGTTACTCCTTCAGCACACCGGTTGTGTGTGGGAGGACTTTGCGGGATGAACGTTGAGATTTACAAGGGGCACGGGGTGACCAAATAAGGTCTGAATTGGTCTGTACTAAGGTAGGGCACTGATAAGGGGTTGACAGGTGTGTAGTTGTGAGTGTAGTAGTGGTGAATGTTCGTAGTGGTGAGTGTATATTTGTGTTTCTGCCTTGTGATGGGACTTTGTAGGATGAACGTTGAGATTTATAAGGGGCACGGGGTGACCAAATACGGTCTGAATTGGTCTGTACTAAGGTAGGGCACTGATAAGGGGTTGACAGGTGTGTAGTTGTGAGTGTAGTAGTGGTGAGTGTTCGTAGTAGTGAGTGTATATTTGTGTTTCTGCCTTGTGATGGGACTTTGTAGGATGAACGTTGAGATTTATAAGGGGCACGGGGTGACCAAATACGGTCTGAATTGGTCTGTACTAAGGTAGGGCACTGATAAGGGGTTGACAGGTGTGTAGTTGTGAGTGTAGTAGTGGTGAGTGTTCGTAGTGGTGAGTGTCTATTTGTGTTTCTGCCTTGTGATGGGACTTTGTGGGATGAACGTTGAGATTTATAAGGGGCACGGGGTGACCAAATAAGGTCTGAATTGGTCTGTACTAAGGTAGGGCACTGATAAGGGGTTGGCAGGTGTGTAGTTGTGAGTGTAGTAGTGGTGAGTGTTCGTAGTGGTGAGTGTCTATTTGTGTTTCTGCCTTGTGATGGGACTTTGTGGGATGAACGTTGAGATTTATAAGGGGCACGGGGTGACCAAAAAGGGCACTGATAAGGGGTTGAGAGGCATGGAGTCCCCGTGACGTTTCGCCCGGTGATTACTTCAGGCGCTTCGCTGGTTTCGGCCTTACATAGAGGAGGTGAAGGTGATGTCATCACTGTGAGTTTAGCAGCAGAGGCAGCGGCGGCGGGGGGGGGGTGGGGGGTAATGTAGTGTGGATCAGGCTAATCTGAGAATATGCAGTTCCTGTTATCGGTTGGTTTACTCACGGTTAATCAACGCACAGTGGGATGCGTTCATGTTTAGTTTGTTGCCCCTCCCCCCCCAGTGCCGGATGAAGCTAAGTGCGGGGCCTGTAGCAAATGTTGTTATAAAGGGACCCTAAATTTTTTTAAAAAAACGTAAATATTAAAACACAATTTTTTTTTACTTGCATAGTAAAGCAATTGTATTTTTTCATTTGCTAAACACCCAGATAATACGTCAAATCTCTAACCTTAAACACCCGGTCGTTCATAAAAGTTGAAGGCGGTATAGTACTCTAGTAACAGAGCAAGTGCAGGATCACTGAACTGGAATTGATGGCCGAATTCGCGAGCACAAATCAGATTTGAAACACGGCAGAACGAATTCTTCTGCCGTGGCTGATCATTGTTACAACGCTGTGGGTGATCATGATATTGTTTTTTCCGATACCAAGGTGCTCTGCAAACCTACCGGTTATTATCAGAGATTTGTCCACGGGGCCATCCAGATTTACAAACACAGACACAACTTCAACCGAGAGGATGGTTTCAAATTAAGCAATCACTGGAAAGATGTTATAAATGAAGTCAAACGTTAGCTGCCTTTCAATTTTTTGTACAGCCATTTCCTTTTCTCAGTGGTTGTATGTCAAACTTTAGCTACCTTATAATTGAACAGCCGTTTGCCGCCGCTTTCAAAAAATGCAGCATGTCTCTTCCTCCCCCCCGACCCCCCACGCAGCATAACAAAAGGTGGGTTTTACCCACTCTCGTGCAGTGCGAAGTGGCTGTTACCCGCAGCAGTCTATCAAAAGGCTGCTTAACCCAGCCCTCCCACCCACCCACGCCCCCTTACTGACTCCTCCCCCCTCCCTTAACCTGTATATAATCCCGGTCGTCTAATGAACTGTGCTCCTGACACAGATACTCTGCGTTGACTATTCCACCTGAAGACGGAAGCTTGAAAGCGTTTAGCACGGGGCCCTTGAAAGTGCGGGGCCCGTAGCCATATGTAGCTACTTGTGCTACGAGGGTAATCCGGCACTGCCTCCCACACCCGCATCCCCGCCCCTTCGACGAGCACGGTTGGCCACGCACGGTGCGAAAGAAGTTCAACAAGCATTGCACGCAGTAAGATCATCGGTCATCCGGCTTCCAACGAACCTCCACCAGAGCCGACGGCGTGGGATTCAGACAATAACTACCTGCCATGTTACACCCCGCCCATCATCGTCCCCACGCAGAGCCTTCGAGATTGGCGTGGTAAGTACGGTACGGTAAATACGGTGCATTTTTACAGGAGGATGTTTATTTAAGGTCTATTTGTATGCTTATTTATGCCAATTTCATAGTGTGATTAAAAACCATACACACAACACCTAAAAACATGTTTTACAAGAATGTTGAAAAAGTTTGCTATTTTAAATAACGATGATTATTGATTATCCGGCGTTTTTGAAAATCTAATCCGCCGGATAATCGATGATCTAATGTACATTGAGTACTGGTGAGGAGTGCTGGCGAGTGTACCCTGGTTCAGTGTGGCCGACAGCAGCACGTTCTGGTGAGTGGGACTCTGCTCCTCGAGGCGGTTGAGAATGACGGTCAGATCCTTCTCAAAGCCCAGGTCCAGTAGCCTGGACAAACACAGACACACACACACACACAGCATGTGCAAGGCAGCCATGTTGGTAAGGAGAAGACACGGGGCCTCCATAGACATGGGCCATTTTGGTAAGGGAATGACACGGTTGGAGGGGGATAATGGTATGACACAGAGCCTCTATAGACATGGGCAGCCATGTTTGTAAGGGGAAGACACGGATTCTCCGTAGACATGGGCAGCCATGTTGGTAAGGTTGTCTCAGCCATAAATGAGTATTCGGCACGCCGTGTAAACATCAGCAATGGGGAGAAAAAGGCGGCCGGAGGGGTATGTTGACCACACCACCCACCGCGTTTAGCCGTTCCGGCCTTAATAGGCGCTACGCACAGCTAACAGTGCCTGCCCCGGGGCAGCCGCCTGTCCAAGGCTACCCGGGGGAGACCTTTGGCTACGTGTCGAAGCGTCTAACGCGGCGATCTTCAGAAAAAAACCATCGACCGCCAATCCACGACGTGACACCGCCCCTGGGTGCGCCGCCACGAGGTTAACAGTCAGCCCAACCGACGGGCCTGCGACACATCTCCCGGCGGTGCGGGGGGACACATCAACCCCCACCTACAACCTCGTTCCAGTTGAATAGGCCAAGACACCCTGTCACTGGGTGGGGGGGGGGGGGGGGGCGCTCTCTCTAGGGCTCCCTCTAGGAGAAGGATCGCCTTCCTGCCAGCGGTGATGAGAGGCAGCCATTGCAGGGAGCTGTGCGTTTAACCAGCGGCCACCCACAAACCGCCACAGCCGACGGGGGCAGCCTGGCCCCTCCCTCACCCCTCCCTGACCCCTCACTGGCCCCTCCCTGGCCCCTCCCTCGAACCTCCCTGGACCCTCCCTGGACCCTCCCTGGCCCCTCCCTGGCCCCTCCCTGGCCCCTCCCTGACCCCTCCCTGACCCCTCCCTGGCCCCTCCCTGGCCCCTCCCTGGCCCCTCCCTCACCCCTCCCTCGACCCCTCCCTCGACCCCTCCCTCACCACTCCCCGCCCTCGCCCCTCTCACCTGTCGGCCTCATCGAGCACCAGGTGGGCGACCCGAGCGAAGGAGAGCGTCTCCGTGTGGTGGATGTGGTCGACGAGGCGTCCCGGCGTTGCCACCAGCACGTTGATCCCCTTGCGCAGCCTGAACACACCGGGTTGCGTTCACGGGTTGTGGGGGACAGGCGGGGGGTGGGGGTGGGGGGGGCAGTGCAGGGGGGGGGGAGGGGGGGGGCTCCATCATCGCCATTTTCTATTAAACAACCCCTTCCGGCCTCCGCCCCCTCCGGCTATTTCCACGAAGGCCAAAGTGAAGCCGAACGCTTTCGCGCGAAGGTTGCGAGCGATCGTGCATCAGCTGTGTCCGTCCGTCCGCCTGCACAGATGACCACAATGTCGAGGTCCGCTCCTGCTTGCCGGCCACGATGAGAGGGCTTCAGCAGACAGAGTCGGTGGAGTTTTGCTGTTCCTCCTCCTCCTCCTCCGTTGAAGGAGCGCGGACTACTACAGAGGCTTACTCTACGTACACCTCTGTGGGTCGATGCTTCCCGACGGGTCTACGTATCTCTACGGGCCTCCGCGTGTCCCTCCGCATCTCTCCGAGTTCGCTACGGGTCGACTTTATGCGGCTCAGGGTAAGGACGTTCACGAGAGCGTCAACTTGCGCGCCAATCTGCGTTTGGGCTTCGGGAGAGGGTGCCGGGGGTGCCCTCCCCAAAAGTGCCCCAAAGACACCACCGGGAGGCTGGCACCGCCGATCAGAATTTGTATTTAGACTGCAGGAGGAATCTGATGAGCTACGAAGCTCTTTTAATTTTTAACTGAGATGATGATTTTGATTTAAAGCTTTCGTGACTGCAGGGATTCATATTCTTGGTTCTTTCGGTAATATGAGATGATGATGTCCAGTAGATGGCATTAGGGGTGGCATCGCGCGAGAGGCTGTGGAGCGCGGCCAGGAGGAGGCTGGCACGGTCGTGGGTGGCACAGCCACCCGGTCCAAACAAACCCCAGGTGGGAGGGGGGTGGTGGAGAGGTGGGGGGGTCACTGACCTGGCCTTCTCGGACTTGCGCTTCTCTCCGCCCATCAGCACGCCCGGCACCACCCACGAAAACGGCTGGTGGCACACGGGAAGGTAGTTACACGGGCAGGTGTCACATGGGCAGGTGTCACATGGGCAGGTGTTACAGGGGCCAGGTGTTACACGGGCAGGTGTCACATGGGCCAGATGACCACAGGCCTACCGCAGGCACACCACAGGCTCACCACAGGCACACCACAGAACACAACAGGGACACCACAGGCCCACCACAGGGACACAACAGGCCCACCACAGGCCCACCACAGGCCGAACACAGGCACACCACAGGCACACCACAGGTACACCACAGGCACACCACAGGCACACCACAGCCACACCACAGGCACACAACAGGCACACCACAGGCACACCACAGGCACACCACAGGCACACCACAGGGACACAACAGGCCCACCACAGGGACACCACAGGCACACAACAGGCACACAACAGGCACACCACAGGCACACCACAGACACACCACAGACACACCACAGGGACACAACAGGCACATCACAGGCCCACCAAGGGCACACTAAAGGCCCACCATAGGCCCACCACAGGCCGACCACAGGCACACCACAGGCACACAACAGGCCCACCACAGGCACACCACAGGCACACCACAGACACATCACAAGCACACCACAGGCACACCACAGGCACACTACGGGCACACCACAGACACATCACAAGCACACCACAGGCCCACCACAGGCACACCACAGGCACACCACAGGCACACCACAGGCACACAACAGGCACACAACAGGCACACCAAAGGCACACAACATAGGCACACCACAGGCACACCACAGGGACACCACAGACACGCACACACCACACAGGCAGCAGGCACGGTGGCAACACCTGCCAGTGGCCGCCAGGATGCCTCCACCCCGGAGACCCTCACCTTGAGCAGCTGCTGGACAGCATTGAAGCTCTGCATGGCCAGCTGAGGAGCACACAGAGGACATCATCCAGGCTGACAGCTAATTTCTTTACAACTGCTTTTCGTATGTTTTAGTTTAGTTGTCCTTCGCCCGCACCTCCGATTAGCACGTTTGGCTACGTACGGTGCGAAAGAACTTCAACATACATACATACACACTGCCATACACTACACTACTATACAGTACACTGCACCATACTATACACTGCTATATACTACACTACGATACACTTCACAGTACACTACATTACGATAGTACATTGAAAACTAATTCATTTTAAACTGCTTTTCGTGTGTTTAGTTTGTTGTCCTTTCCCCCGCACCTCCGATAAGCTCAGTAGGCTACGTACATACAGTACACGTGCCTTCTCGTCTTGCTGCGAGATTTGGTGTTGAGGTTCACACCTGGACAAGTCCGGGACCTGGTTACAGCCTGACCTGGAGGCAGGGGTTGAACCGTTCAACGGCTCCCCGCACACCACCCCACGCCCTAACAGTGCTCGCCCATTCGTTGTACGATTTATTAACGGCAGTTGAGTGACCCACCAGGCTTGGGACACCGAGATGGAGAGATGTTAACTACCTCGCCTGGTATACAGGAGGACGTGGGTTCGATGCCGACCCCGCCAACGCATGCGTATTTGTAGTTTGCACGTCTCTCTCGCGGCCGTGGTCGGCGTGGTCCTTTCTCCGGGGTCCTCCAGGTTTTTCCCTCCATATAAATTCCCACGCGACAAGCCACTTCGTTCAGACATCATTTGTGGCCAGGTCGCTTCTGAAAAAAGAGCCGTATAGCTCAGCGGGCCTTACCTGGCAAAATAAGTAAATAAAATTGCAGAGAGCCTATCGTAGCAGGTAGATCTGCTCAGCAGCAAACTAACTGACCTCCTCCGCGTAAAACACGGCAAGCTTCCAAACGACTCCGCCGCCGACTGGAATCGCCGGATTAGCCCAGACATGGGAAAAGTACACCACGGCCCGTTGGACTTTTTAATCCAGGTAAAATTTAATTTATTACTAAATTAAATTTTTAATTTAATTTATTACTAAATTAAATTTTACCTTTCTCCTGTAATGCCCTCATTTCCCCATTAGATGGCGCACTTTGACCGGGAGTTACGACACGTTTTTATATTGTTCACGTTCGTGCAATTTGTTCAATTGCCTTGCAAATAAATGCTTCGCTACCTGTTAAAAGGCCAAATCCTTTCATGTAATGCTTTTTACACGTCATTTATATTAGTTCACACAAACACTCCGTCCATCTGTTTCCTGGCCCGGCCCCTCTGTCAAATTTGACAACCCATTGTGGCCCGCGAGTCAAACAATTTGCCCACCCCCCGGATTAGCCGCTCACGAAACCAGAGTTGCGGAGTTCGGGGTTCGACGGCAGGGCCCACCCACTCCGGTGAGGGCGTTTGGGGGATTTGTCCGTACGCACCTCTCTGGTGGGGACGATGATCAGGGCGTAGGGACCGTCCGCTCTCTGCCAGGAAGGGGAAGACGAAGACACCAGGTTTAAACGTGAGCATCGATTATTGCAGCCGGCGTTCAGTTGGCCGATGGCAGGGGCACCACGGTGGCTAGGAGATGTCAACTCTCTCGCTTGGCATGCAGGAGGTCGCGGGTTTAAGCTGGACCCTGATATCTGCTGAATATTTGGAGTTTGCGTGTCTCTCTCTCTCTTCCTCCGTGGCCGCGTGGATTTTTTGCCCGGGTCATCCGATTTTTCCCTCCACATTCAGAGTCAACATCACGCAATTAGGTAATTTGGTTGCCGCTAGAAATTTCCACGTGATGATGATGATACACCACTTCATTGAGCTGTCATTTGTGGTCAGGTGGGTTCTGAAAATGAGCTACATAGCTCAGTGGTAAAATAAAAATAGTTTAAGGTTACAAACACAGACACAATTTCAACAGAGAAGATGGTTTCAAATTAAGCAACCATTGGAAAGATTTTGATTTAAAGCTTTCGTGACTGCAGTAATTCATATTCTTAGTTTTTTCGGTAAAGTCACGTTGAAGAGAAACAACAAAATAACAAAATATATATAAAACAATAAAAAATTCTCACGACGTTTCGACCATAACTCAAACGGTCATCATCAGGTGTGTCGGTTTGCATAAATTTATTTTGAAAACGGCATATTTATTTATATATATAAAAATAACGTTTGCGTCACGCGCAACGATGGCAGTTTGCCAGGACTAGTCCATCTATTTTTTGAAAAGAGGAGGGGGGAGACGAAATTTGTTTTTATGTATGCTGTCTGAAAGGCACTGTAAGCGTGAACAATCAATCAAGAACTGAAATGATTTATCAAATCTTTCCAATGATTGCTAAGATAGAATCCATCTTCTCGGTTGAAATTGTCTCTGTGTTTGTATATGTGGATAGCCTCATGAACGAATCTCTCATGGAAGCCAGATGGCTTACAAAGAACCTCCGTCTTGGAAAAGTCAATGGCATGTGAGCCTACTGAATTAGAACAATGATCTGCTACGGCCGAGGTGTTGGTCCTACCGTGTTTAAGGTCTGCTTTATGTTCACGAATGCGGTCCGAGATATGGCGTTTGGTTTCTCCAATGTAACTACTACCACAGAGGCAACTTAGTTTGTAGACACCAGGGTATTGTATGTCCGGAATCACATCTTTTACAGACGGAACCAGATCACGGATTTTATGTAATGTGTTAAAACGGACCTGGATCTTGTGTTTATTCAAGATTTTGGAGATCTTTTTTGTGATCCCAGCAATGTAGGGTAAAGTGATGGTTTTGAAAGGCTCCTCAAGAGGGTTCTTCTTCATGGTTTGAGTGATAGCTTTGCGGATTGTATAGTCGGAGTAACCATTAGCCCTAAGAGCTTGGTGTACGTGCTTGAGTTCACTGCTTATGTGTTCCTGGTCGGATATGCATTGGGCTCTATGATACAGAGTCTTGATGAGAGAATTCTTCTGTGATGGATGGTGGTGGGAATCCGGTTTCAGATAAGCATCCGTATGGGTAGCTTTCCTGTAGACAGAGTGGCTCATTGAACCATCAGGTCTCTTTTTAATTAGGACATCCAAAAAAGGTATCTTGCCATCTATTTCGACTTCCATGGTAAATCTGATGGCTGGGTGTATGGAATTGATGTGGTCGAAGAATTTGTCTAGAGCAGGCCGGCCATGTGGCCAGATGACAAAAGTGTCATCCACGTACCTCTTCCATAAGGTTGGGCGCAGAGTGGCAGTCTGGATGGCGTCAGTCTCAAATTTCTCCATGAAAATGTTAGCTATAACTGGAGAAAGGGGGGAGCCCATTGGGGTGCCCTCAGTTTGTTTGTAGAAAGTTCCATTCCAAGTGAAGTATGTATTGGTTAAACATTGCAATCATTGAAGACTTGGTTCATCAAGGACTAAACACTGAGGTACCCCCCCTGGTGAGACACTGTTTAACCAATACATACTTCACTTGGAATGGAACTTTCTACAAACAAACTGAGGGCACCCCAATGGGCTCCCCCCTTTCTCCAGTTATAGCTAACATTTTCATGGAGAAATTTGAGACTGACGCCATCCAGACTGCCACTCTGCGCCCAACCTTATGGAAGAGGTACGTGGATGACACTTTTGTCATCTGGCCACATGGCCGGCCTGCTCTAGACAAATTCTTCGACCACATCAATTCCATACACCCAGCCATCAGATTTACCATGGAAGTCGAAATAGATGGCAAGATACCTTTTTTGGATGTCCTAATTAAAAAGAGACCTGATGGTTCAATGAGCCACTCTGTCTACAGGAAAGCTACCCATACGGATGCTTATCTGAAACCGGATTCCCACCACCATCCATCACAGAAGAATTCTCTCATCAAGACTCTGTATCATAGAGCCCAATGCATATCCGACCAGGAACACATAAGCAGTGAACTCAAGCACGTACACCAAGCTCTTAGGGCTAATGGTTACTCCGACTATACAATCCGCAAAGCTATCACTCAAACCATGAAGAAGAACCCTCTTGAGGAGCCTTTCAAAACCATCACTTTACCCTACATTGCTGGGATCACAAAAAAGATCTCCAAAATCTTGAATAAACACAAGATCCAGGTCCGTTTTAACACATTACATAAAATCCGTGATCTGGTTCCGTCTGTAAAAGATGTGATTCCGGACATACAATACCCTGGTGTCTACAAACTAAGTTGCCTCTGTGGTAGTAGTTACATTGGAGAAACCAAACGCCATATCTCGGACCGCATTCGTGAACATAAAGCAGACCTTAAACACGGTAGGACCAACACCTCGGCCGTAGCAGATCATTGTTCTAATTCAGTAGGCTCACATGCCATTGACTTTTCCAAGACGGAGGTTCTTTGTAAGCCATCTGGCTTCCATGAGAGATTCGTTCATGAGGCTATCCACATATACAAACACAGAGACAATTTCAACCGAGAAGATGGATTCTATCTTAGCAATCATTGGAAAGATTTGATAAATCATTTCAGTTCTTGATTGATTGTTCACGCTTACAGTGCCTTTCAGACAGCATACATAAAAACAAATTTCGTCTCCCCCCTCCTCTTTTCAAAAAATAGATGGACTAGTCCTGGCAAACTGCCATCGTTGCGCGTGACGCAAACGTTATTTTTATATATATAAATAAATATGCCGTTTTCAAAATAAATTTATGCAAACCGACACACCTGATGATGACCGTTTGAGTTATGGTCGAAACGTCGTGAGAATTTTTTATTGTTTTATATATATTTTGTTATTTCATTGGAAAGATGTTCTAAATCGAACCAAACATTAAACTAATTTTCAATGGTACAGTATATTTTTAAAGTAGTGGTACCCCAAACTTTCGCAGCTCTTAAATTCCCTTTTCACACCATCAATAGGAAAACTCCCCCTCCGCGCCAACCGGCATGTTCACCACCTCTATGCTAAGTCGGCCAATCAAATGCTAATTTTTATGCTAATTCCTTTGTCAAGGCACCTTGTTTCCTCGCACACAGCTTAAAGGTCGCGGCCTGAGCGTGGCTGTGTTTCACTCCAGCGCTGTCCTCGAGACAGCCTGATCCCTTCACCTGATGAAGGCCGCTTGTGTTGTGGCCGAAACGTTGTGATTTTTGTTGTTTTATTTTTTTACCTACGTGACTTTACCGAATAGAACCAAAGAGTATGGATCCTTGCAGTCACGAAAGCTTTAAATCTAGAGTTTAAGGTTAGTTTAGTTTAAAATGATTAAATATCCTTAATAATGCCTGATGAAGCTGGTGGTGCTGTACTAGTGACAAATTGGCCACGTTCTGTTTACGTGACAACCCTCACTAGTTGGCTGTGTTGGGTGGTGGCGGGTTTAACGACACATTTATACTTACGTGATCAAACCCCAAAAAACCTCTTATGTATAATACTGGTCGCGAAAGTCTACGTGTTGAACTTTACATATCCTGGTTGGGCTATTTATATGAAGACCATTGACGAAATTGTAAGTATTAATTTTATTTTAATTCTTCTATTTAATAGTATATACGTTGTTTGTCTCTTAATTGTGATTCTTGAATAGGACGTTTGTTGTTTGTCCATCTCGGGTCGCAGCCGGGTTCGTAGCGCAGTACACTAACCACTGCACCACCGCTCCCCAACACAAGACAAAGACACTCCCGTGTAGCCTTGACAAGACTGTTGGGGCAAGTGCTGTTAGCGAGTAGCAGCACCTACGAAGGCCGGCACGGCACACGAGGGGGGTGGGTGGCCAGCGCCGCGCCCGCCCGGCCGCCTTTGTCTCCACAGTGGTCGATGATTTTACACACCGCACCAGATCCTCGTACGAGACCGAAGGGTAAAGTCGCACGATCGACTCGGGCAACCGTCACTGGCCTTGACTGCCGTGAGCGCGAATCGAACTCGGGTCGGGCAGCGTACGCACCGTGATCTTGGGCCGCGCGGCCTGCAGGGCTTGCACCAGGGGAACCGCGTAGGCCAGCGTCTTTCCTGCGCACGCGGGCGGCAGGGTCAGAGTCGGTGGGGGGTCGGGGGTCACGGGTGGGTCACGGTGGTGCCAACGCACGGGGGCTACGCGGTGACGCTGCTGCGCGGCTCGCTGTCCACGTGCGAGACGCTTCGTGGCCGCGGTGGGGAATCTTCGTGAGCGGCGTGCGGCCCCCGTCACGAAGAAAGACGACCAACTATTTTTTATTTTTTTTATTTCAGATGGCCAGTAAAAGGGCAGGTCAGAAAATGCGCCGCGTTTTTTTAATTATTTTGATCCCAAAAAGGTAAGTCATAAAAAATAAATGCTGATAAATTAAGTACATAAGTACGGACGAAAACTAAACTATTTTTTTTTATTTTACTTGGTTAGTGCCTGTCATTGGACATCACCAATGACAGCCCAACGAAAGTGGCTTATCATCATCACGTGGGAATTTATAGCAAGGGACAATTACTCTAACCGCACGTGGATGCCAAATGTGGAGGGAAAAACCGGAGGACCCGGTGAAAAATCCATTCGACCACGGGGAAAGAGAGAGAGAGGACAAGCAAACTCCAAATATACAGCAGCAGGCGTCAGGGTCAGGATAGAACCCCCAACCTCCTGCATACCAGGCGAGGTAGTTAACATCTCCTAGCCACCGTGATGATGATGAGAGAGACACGCAAACTCCAAATATACAGCGGCAGGCGTCAGGGTCAGGATAGAACCCACGACCTCCTGCATACCAGGCGAGGTAGTTAACGTCTCCTAGCCACCGTGATGATGATGAGAGAGACACGCAAACTCCAAATATACAGCAGCAGGCGTCAGGGTCAGGATAGAACCCACGACCTCCTGTATACCAGGCGAGGTAGTTAACATCTCCTAGCCACCGTGATGTTGATGAGAGAGAGAGAGACACGCAAACTCCAAATATACAGCAGCAGGCGTCCGGGTCAGGATAGAACCCACGACCTCTTGCATACCAAGCGAGGTAGTTAACATCTCCTAGCCACCATGATGATGATGATGAGAGAGAGAGAGACACGCAAACTCCAAATATACAGCAGCAGTAGACGTCAGGGTCAGGATAAAACCCACAACATCCTGCATACCAGGCGAGGTAGTTAACATCTCCTAGCCACCGTGGAGCCCTAAAGTCCCACCGCCACAGGACAGGGGGACAGGCTTTGACTCTACGGATGGGGCCGGTGTCTATGGTTGTTGTTTAGAGCGCCGGTGATCCCAGCTGTTCACAGGTAAGCGATGGTAGCAGACATTTGCTGAACTCCACAACCCAACGGGGCTGCAAAGGCGAGCCACGAGGTGGCAGAATGTTACAAAGTAGCGCTCATCACACACAATGTGCTCGCCACAAATGAACACCTCGCTGATCTCTTCAAAGAGCATAAATCATCATCACGCGACACTCCGATCATCCTCGCAGCAGCAGCAGCAGCAGCAGCAGCGGCTTTTGGCTCGGCCATCGAACAAAGGCGGTGGTCACCGCTGCATCGCGCGGCGCTTTCAGATGCGCTCCTTCGGCCGTCTGGAACGCTCTTCCCTTCCGATATTAAAAAGCCACTGGGAGCAGTGTACTTTTAAATCATCATCATCATCATCATCGTCGTCTAGATTGACAAACTAATTTCTAAAGAACTGCTTTTTGTGTTTGTTGTCTTTCCACCGCACCTCCGATCAGCACGGTTGGCTACGTACGGTGGCGCGAAAGACGTTCAAACGTACAGGACAGGAAGTGGAATTGGACCGGGAACCCGTTCGTGCGGACTTGTTGTGCATTGCCCAATTTGCCTCCTCCCAAACGCGACCGTCGTGTTCTCCTACAACGTCGGCGAGTTCCTGAACAACGCCGCGTTGTGGAAAAATCGCGTCGTAACAAATAATGCGGGCTAAAGCACAGGCCGCGGCTAACACGCGAGATGCGTTAACGCGGGCTGAACAAAAGACCGAGGCGCGTGGGCAGCAGCATCTAGAAAGCATCCAGCAGCATCCCGACGCCTTGTGTGTGCGCGCTGCGACGTAGTTCCGTTCGCTCGATCGCATCACCGTATATATATCCCAATTCGCATCCTGCGGTTACAACAACAACAACAACAAAAAGTTCCCCGACACGGGGGGGGGGGGGGGGGTCCCGAGCGCGTGGAACGAATGGACTTGAGCGGTGAGTAGCGAGTGGCGAGGGAGAAGAGACCTGAGCCGGTCTGAGACTTCACGAGAGCGTCCCGTCCCTGCAGCAGCACTGGGATGGCCTGCCTCTGCACCCTGCACGCACGACGGACACAATGACAAAGGTCCCGCCCCCCGTGTAGCCTTCAGCAGGCATGCTGGGGGCGAGGCGCTGTTCGCGAGTAGCAGCGCCCGGCCGCCTTTCCGCCGTGGTGACGAGGAGATGTTAACTCCCTCGCCTGATATACGGGTGGCCGTGGGTTCGATCCCAACCCTGACGCCTGCCGTATATCTGAAGTTCGCGTGTTTGGTTTGTGGTCGTGTGGATTTTTCTCGGGGTCCTCCGGTTTCCCCCTCCACATTTAGAATCGACGTCATGCTTTCAGAGAATTTGGCTGCCGCTATAAATTCCCACGTGATGATGATGATGGCCAGGTCACTTCTGAAAAAGAGCCACGTAGCTCAGTGGGCCTTACCTGGTGAAATTAAAATAGTTTAGTTTAGTTTGTCTCCCCCCACACCACATTCATAAGCCTGGGTTGACCTAAGGGAGGCCCAGGGACGGTTCAAATATTCGCCACCCATGTTAGCCGTGGCAGGGAGTTCAGCTTGGAATGCGATGCTTTGCAGCGCAGTGTGCTCCACGCACACACACACAAAGATCCCCTCCCTCCACCTCCGTGTATCCTAAATAGACTTTTCAGGTCAGTGCCGTTAGTGTGCCCCCTTGAAGGCCGGCACGGCACACGAGGGGGTGGGTGGCCAGCACCACGCCCGACCGCCTCTGTCTCCCTAGTGGCAATGTTGACACACCGCACCAGTTACTCATTTGAGGCCGAGTCGACCTAGGGGAGGCCCGAGACCGGTTCACATAATCGTCACTAGTGTTGGGCGTGAGCCGGAATCGAACTCAGGTCGCCGGGTTCATAGCGCAGCGCGCTAACCGCTACATGTACACACACACGCACACTCGCACACATGCGCAGGGGACAACAGCTGACATTGTGATTCAGGGTCACACGGTCGGCACTCACATGGTCATCTGAGTGAGCTTCATCTGCTTGTCCAGGGTGGACACCTGGAGGGATGACGACAAAGACGGCACGGGGTCACAGGGTGGCAGCAGGGCGAGTCGCCCCTTGTGGTGGTGGCGGCGGCACACCTACACACCCACCTACCCAACCACCCACCCAGCCACCCACCCAGCCACACATCCAGCCACACACCCAGCCACACACCCAGCCACCCACCCAACCACCCACTCAGCCACACACCCAGCCACACACCCAGCCACACACCCAACCACCCACCCAGCCACACACCCAGCCACCCACCCAACCACCCACCCAGCCACCCACCCAGCCACACATCCAGCCACACACCCAGCCACACACCCAGCCACCCACCCAACCACCCACCCAGCCACACACCCAGCCACCCACCCAACCACCCACCCAGCCACCCACCCAGCCACACATCCAGCCACACACCCAGCCACACACCCAGCCACCCACCCAACCACCCACCCAGCCACTCACCCAGCCACACACCCAGCCACACACCCAGCCAAACCCCCAGCCACACCCCCAGCCACACACCCAGCCACACACCCAGCCACACACCCAGCCACCCACCCAGCCACCCACCCAGCCACCCACCCAGCCACACACCCAGCCACACACCCAACCACCCTTCCAGCCACACACCCAGCCACACACCCAGCCACACACCCAGCCACACACCCAGCCACACACCCAGCCACCCACCCAACCACCCACCCAGCCACACACCCAGCCACACACCCAGCCACACACCCAGCCACACACCCAGCCAAACCCCCAGCCACACTCCCAGCCACACACCCAGCCACACGCCCAGCCACCCACCCAGCCACCCACCCAGCCACCCACCCAGCCACACACCCAGCCACACACCCAACCACCCACCCAGCCACACACCCAGCCACACACCCAGCCACCCACCCAGCCAAACACCCACCCATCCGCATACCCAGCCACACACCCAGCCACACAACCAGCCACCCACCCAGCCACACACCCAGCCACACACCCAGCCACACACCCAACCACACACCCAGCCACACACCCAGCCACACATCCAGCCACCCACCCAACCACACACCCAGCCACCCACCCAGCCACACACCCAGCCACACACCCAGCCACACACCCAGCCACACACCCACCCAGCCACCCACCCAGCCACCCACCCAGCCACACACCCAGCCACACACCCACCCAGCCACCCACCCAGCCACCCACCCACCCACCCAACCACACACCCAGCCACACACCCAGCCACACACCCACCCAGCCACACACCCACCCAGCCACACACCCAGCCACACACCCACCCAGCCACACACCCAGCCACACACCCAGCCACACACCCACCCAGCCACACACCCACCCAGCCACCCACCCAGCCACACACCCAGCCACACACCCACCCACCCACCCAGCCACCCACCCAGCCACACACCCAGCCACCCGCTTCAAGGACAATGTACACATTGTCCTTGAAACGCAGTGGCCTCCACCAGGGCTACAGCCTAAGAAAGAGCCCGCACCAGGTACGGGTGGAGGTCCAGCGTTGAGAACGCGTTGCCGGCGAACACGGCCTCCTTGCACTGCGACACCACGGGCCTAGGGGGAGTTGCGGGAAGGAGACACGAGAGAGCCGTGACACCGACGCACGCAAAACAAATAAACTAACAAACCTGGTGGCGTCGCCGTCGCCGCGCGACGTCCGCGGTGCCGTTTGACCTCGTCGTGAAACTAAAAAAAAACTACGACCTAAAACGCAGCGTTTGGGGCCTTCCAGCGACCGGCGTTGACGATTCGCGGTTTGGGGTTTTTTTTTTTTTTTCCCCCTCCGGTTCGCGGTGCCGGCCGTGTCAAGGATGCGAAGGCGCCCGTCGCACGTCCGTCACGTCACAGCAGCAGCAGCGGCGGAAGCGGCAGCGGCAGCAGCCGCAGCCGCGTCAAGAGCCCCCGAGATGGCAGAGGAGGATGCTGCTGGTTGCCCCTCCTGGCAACCAAACTATAATCAATTTATTTTTTCATTTTACCAGGCAAGTGCCCCGCTGAGCTGCCCGCGCAGCTCTTGTTGAGAAGCGACCTGGCCGTCACAAATGACAGCTCAACGGCGTTGGCTCATCACAATCACGTGGAAATGTATAAGAGTCAAATAATGTAAATAATCTAAACGAACACCAAGCTCGCTCGCTCTCCCAGCTCACCAAGTTCGCTCGCCCGCCCGGCTCACCAACCACGCTCGCCCGCCCGGCTCACCAACCACGCTCGCCCGGCTCACCAACTGCGCTCGCTCGCCCGGCTCACCAAGCTCGCTCGCTCGCCCGGCTCACCAAGCTCGCTCGCCCGGCTCACCAAGCTCGCTCGCTCGGCTCACCAAGCTCGCTCGCTCGCCCAGCTCACCAACCACGCTCGCCCGGCTCACCAACTGCGCTCGCTCGCCCGGCTCACCAAGCTCGCTCGCTCGCCCGGCTCACCAAGCTCGCTCGCCCGGCTCACCAAGCTCGCTCGCTCGGCTCACCAAGCTCGCTCGCTCGCCCAGCTCACCAACCACGCTCGCCCGGCTCACCAACCACGCCCGCCCGGCTCACCAAGCTCGCTCGCTCGCCCGGCTCACCAACCGCGCTTACTCGCCCGGCTCACCAACCGCGCTTACTCGCCCGGCTCACCAACTGCGCTCGCTCTCCCGGCTCACAAAGCTCGCACACTCACCTCTCCACACTGGGGATGCTGGGGTTGTTTTTGAAGAGCGACGACGTTTTGGGGAAGGCCTTCTCTCCGGGTCCACCCGCCCGGGCCTTCCCTCGTCCCCTGGCCTCCGACCCTCGGGCCCCCAAACCCCCGCGGCCCCGGGAGGCCTTGGCTGGGCCCCTGAGCGCCGCTGCCTCCTCCTCCTCCGAGGCGTCCGTCTCCCGGCTGCGCTTGGCCCCGCGCTTCTGCTGCACACGCAGGGAGCAGCTTCAACCTCGTGCACATCCCGCCTCCTCCTCCTCTTCCTCCTCCTCCTCCATCATCTTCATGCACACTCTATCTCCTCCCTCCTCCTCCTCCTCCTCCATCATCTTCCTCCTCACACACACCCTGCCTCCACGTCCTCCCCAGCTGGGTGAGTGTGGGGGTGGCTGTTGGCTAGCGGCTGTAGGTGAATGCATGAGTGAGTGTGTGAGTGAGTGTGTGGGCAAGTGTGTGGGTGAATTGTGTGAGTGAGTGTGTGGGTGAGTGTGGGTGAGTGTGTGGGTGAGTGAGTGAGTGTGTGGGCGTGTGTGTGGGTGAGAGTGTGAGTGTCTGGGTGAGTGTGTGGGCGAGTGTGTGGTTGAGTGTGTGAGTGAGTGTGTGGGCGAGTGTGTGGGTGAGTGGGCGAGTGTATGGGTAAGTGAGTGAGTGTGTGGGTGAGTGTGTGGGCGAGTGTGTGAGTGAGTGTGTGAGTGAGTGTGTGGGCGAGTGTGTGGGTGAGTGTATGAGTGAGTGTGTGGGCGAGTGTGTGGGTGAGTGAATGAGTGTGTGGGTGAGTGTGTGGGCGAGTGTGTGGGTGAGTGTATGAGTGAGTGTGTGGGTGAGTGTATGGGCTAGTGTGTGGGTGAGTAAGTGAGTGTGTGGGTGCACATGGCCTGGCACAAGCGTCGTGGTGACGTCACCGCCACAGTGGCGAATGGCGGTTGCTGTTGTTGTGTGGGTGAGTGTGTGGGTGAATGTATGAGTGAGTGTGTGGGCGAGTGTGTGAGTGAATGTTTGGGCGAGTGTGTGAGTGTGTGGGTGAGTGCGTGTGTGGGTGAGTGTGTGGGTGAGTGTATGGGTGAGTGTATGAGTGAGTGTGTGGGCGAGTGTGTGAGTGAGTGTGTGGGCGAGTGTGTGAGTGAGTGTGTGGGCGAGTGTGTGAGTGAGTGTGTGGGCGAGTGTGTGGGTGAGTGATTGTGTGGGTGAGTGAGTGTGTGGGTGAGTGTGTGGGTGAGTGTGTGGGTGAGTGAGTAAGTGAGGAGCGGAGGTTCAGTGTTTAGCACTCTGCGATACAGGTGAGTCTGTGCAAGTGAGTGAATGCAGGTGAGTCTGTGTAGGTGAGTCTGTGCAGGTGAGTCTGTGTAGGTGAGTCTGTGCAGGTGAGTCTGTGAAGGTGAGTCTGTGCAGGTGAGTCTGTGTAGGTGAGTGAATGCAGGTGAGTCTGTGCAGGTGAGTGAATACAGGTGAGTCTGTGCAGGTGAGTCTGTGAAGGTGAGTCTGTGCAGGTGAGTCTGTGTAGGTGAGTGAATGCAGGTGAGTCTGTGCAGGTGAGTGAATGCAGGTGAGTCTGTGCAGGTGAGTTTGTGCAGGTGAGTCTGTGCAGGTGTGTCTGTGTAGGTGAGTCTGTGCAGGTGAGTCTGTGAAGGTGAGTCTGTGCAGGTGAGTGAATGCAGGTGAGTCTGTGCAGGTGAGTCTGTGCAGGTGAGTGAATGGAGAAGATTCACACAAGCCGGACACACACTTTATTATCCGGCTTGCGTCCTGTGGCGGCCGACATGACTTCACTTCAACAACGTCCACCTTAGCAGTCGATCACCACAAGATACTCCGCCCCTGTACACACACACGCCACAAAGACAAAGGTCCCCCGTGTAGCCTTGAACAGACTGTTGGGGCAAGTGCTGTGAGCGAGCAGCACCTGTGAAGGCCGGAATTGCACGCGAGGGGGTGGTTGGCCAGCAACCACGCCCGACCGCCTTTGTCTCCCCAGGGGTGATGTTTAAAGGCCACACCAAGTACTCATTTGAGGCCGAGTCGACCTAGGGGAGGCTCAGAACCGGGTCAGATGAGCGTGGAATCGAACTCGGGTGGTCGGGTCCGGAGCGCCAGCGCGCTAACCACTGCACCACCGCTCTCACACACCAAAGACAAAGATTCCCCCTATAGTTCGGTTGGGGCAAGTGCTGTTAGCGAGCACCTATTAAGGCCCGCGCGACACGCGAGGGGGGTGGCCAACACCACGCCCGGCCACCTTTGTCTCCCCGAGCGCTGAATTCTTAAAAACTGCACCGGGTACACATCTAAGGCTGAGTCGACCTGGGGCGATATTCATCAGCGGTGTTGGTGAACTCACTTTGACACGCGTGCGTGAACTCACACACGTACGCACGTGTGTGTGTGTACCCACTGACCCACGTGTGTGTGTACCCACTGACCCACGTGTGTGTGTACCCACTGACCCACGTGTTTGTGTACCCACTGACCCACGTGTGAGTGTAAACTCACACACACACGCGCGCGTGTGTGTACACACTCACACGCGTGTACAGGCTCTCACACGCGTGTACCCACTCACTTACTCACACGCGTGTACCCACTCACTCACACGCGTGTACCCACTCACTCACACGCGTGTACCCACTCACTCACACGCGTGTACAGACTCACTCACACGCGTGTACAGACTCACTCACACGCGTGTACAGGCCCACTCACACGCGTGTACCCACTCACTCACACGCGTGTACAGACTCACTCACACGCGTGTACAGACTCACTCACACGCGTGTACCCACTCACTCACTCACGCGTGTACCCACACTCACACGCGTGTAGACTCACTCACACGCGTGTACAGACTCACTCACACGCGTGTACAGACTCACTCACACGCGTGTACCCACTCACTCACTCACGCGTGTACCCACACTCACACGCGTGTAGACTCACTCACACGCGTGTACCCACTCACTCACGCGTGTACCCACACTCACACGCGTGTAGATTCACTCACACGCGTGTACCCACTCACTCACGCGCGTGTACAGACTCACTCACACGCATTTACCCACTCACTCACTGACACGTGTACAGACTCACACGCGTGTACACTCACTCACACGCGTGTACCCACTCACTCACTCACACGTGTGTGTGTACACTCACCTACTATACTCACGCGACACGCGTCGCTCCCGCGTGGACTCACTCGCACTGTACTAGCACGCGTGTATCCACGCACTGTCCTAGCGCGCACTGTACCCACCCACTGTACTAGCCGCGCACTGTACCCACCCACGTGGGCTCCACGCCTCGACGCCCTCGCTACGCGACGCGGCCCAGGAAGGACCCCGACCCACGTGACCCTACGGTGGGGGGGAGGGGGATGAGGGGAGGGGGTAAGAGGGGGGTCAGGGGAGGGGGATGAGGGGAGAGGGGAGGGGGATGAGAGGAGCGGTGGCGCAGCAGTTCGCGCTACACTGCGCTACGAACCCGGGCGATCCCGAGTTCGATCCCCGCTCCCACGGCCACCGCCAACACCACCGGCGGCGATTATCCGAACCGGTCCTGGGCCTCCCCTAGGTCGACTCGGCCTCAAATGAGTACCTGGTGCGGTGCAGAGTAGACACCGCTACTGGGGGAGACAAAGGCGGCCTTGGGCGTGGTTGCTGACCACCCATCCCCCTCGTGTGCCACAGTGCCGGTAGCCTGCATAGGGGCAGTCCATAAATGACGTCACGCGATTTTGGAAGATTTGACACCCTCCCCTCGTCACACGACGTTACAAAAAGTCAGACCCCCCCCCCCTCAAATATGACGTCACAAAGCTTTGCCCCCCCCCCCCAAAAATATATATAAACCATGCTTCAAATCGCTTTAAACTATTGTCATTGTGCGTATTTAACGTGGCGCTGCACTCCGATGTTGTAGGAGAAACATTAAAAAGGAGGCGTTGGAAAGATGAAATTTAGAATAAAATTCACTTGAAAATATTCATCGTCTACTAACTAAATCTGCAGATGTTCAGAATATATTGAAATTATCTTATAATTATCATGAGTGTGGTGGTGTGCACTCGTGTGTGTGTGTGTGTGATGGTGTGGTGATGTGCACTCGTGTGTGTGTGTGTGATGGTGTACACTCGTGTGTGTGTGATAGTGTGGTGATGTGCGCTCGTGTGTGTGTGTGATGGTGTACACTCGTGTGTGTGTGATAGTGTGGTGATGTGCGCTCGTGTGTGTGTGTGTGATGGTGTACACTCGTGTGTGTGTGATGGTGTACACTCGTGTGTGTGTGATAGTGTGGTGATGTGCACTCTGTGTGTGATGGTGTACACTCGTGTGTGTGTGTGATAGTGTGGTGATGTGCGCTCGTGTGTGTGTGTGATGGTGTACACTCGTGTGTGTGTGTGATAGTGTGGTGATGTGCGCTCGTGTGTGTACCTGGCGCAGCCTGAGTGAGGCCTAGCTAGATCGTGCGCCTGGCGCAGCCTGAGTGAGGCCTAGTTAATACTGCACGTGGCGCAGCCTGAGTGAGGCCGAGTAAATCGTGCACGTGGCGCAGCCTGAGGCCTAGTTAATTGCGCACATGGCGCAGCCTGAGTAAGGCCTAGTTAATTGTGCACGTGACACTGCCTGGATGAGGCCTGGTGGATCGTGCACCTGGCGCAGCCTGAGAGAGGCCTGGTTAATCATGCACAAGGCGCAGCCTGAGTGAGGCCTGGTTGACTGCACCTGGTGCAGCCTGAGTGAGGCCTAGTAAATAGTGCACTTGGCGCAGCCTGAGTGAGGCCTAGCTAGATCGTGCGCCTGGCACAGCCTGAGTGAGGCCTAGTTAATACTGCACGTGGCGCAGCCTGAGTGAGGCCGAGTAAATCGTGCACGTGGCGCAGCCTGAGTGAGGCCTAGTTAATAGTGTGATGGATCACAACCTGTGTTCCTGCTAAGGCAACATTGCCGTGGACCCCAAGCTGTGTTCCTGCTAAGGCAACATTGCCGTGGACCCCAAGCTGTGTTCCTGCCAAGGCAACATTGCCACGGACCCCAACCTGTGTTCCTGCCAAGGCAACATTGCCACGGACCCCAAGCTGTGTTCCTGCCAAGGCAACATTGCCACGGACCCCAACCTGTGTTCCTGCCAAGGCAACATTGCCACGGACCCCAACCTGTGTTCCTGCCAAGGCAACATTGCCACGGACCCCAAGCTGTGTTCCTGCCAAGGCAACATTGCCACGGACCCCAACCTGTGTTCCTGCCAAGGCAACATTGCCACGGACCCCAAGCTGTGTTCCTGCCAAGGCAACATTGCCACGGACCCCAACCTGTGTTCCTGCTAAGGCAACATTGCCACGGACCCCAACCTGTGTTCCTTCCAAGGCAACATTGCCACGGACCCCAAGCTGTGTTCCTGCCAAGGCAACATTGCCACGGACCCCAACCTGTGTTCCTGCCAAGGCAACATTGCCACGGACCCCAAGCTGTGTTCCTGCCAAGGCAACATTGCCACGGACCCCAACCTGTGTTCCTGCCAAGGCAACATTGCCACGGACCCCAACCTGTGTTCCTGCCAAGGCAACATTGCCACGGACCCCAAGCTGTGTTCCTGCCAAGGCAACATTGCCACGGACCCCAAGCTGTGTTCCTGCCAAGGCAACATGGCAACGGACTCCAAGCTGTGTTTCTGCCAAGGCAACATTGCCACGGACTCCAAACTGTGTTCGTGCCAAGGCAACATTGCCACGGACCCCAAGCTGTGTTCCTGCCAAGGCAACATTGCCGTGGACCCCAACCTGTGTTCCTGCCAAGGCAACATTGCCACGGACCCCAAGCTGTGTTCCTGCCAAGGCAACATTGCCACGGACTCCAACCTGTGTTCCTGCCAAGGCAACATTGCCACGGACTCCAACCTGTGTTCCTGCCAAGGCAACATTGCCACGGACTCCCAAGCTGTGTTCCTGCCAAGGAAACATTGCCACGGACCCCAAGCTATGTTCCTGCCAAGGCAACATTGCCACGGACCCCAACCTGTGTTCCTGCCAAGGCAACATTGCCACGGACTCCAGGCTGTGTTCCATCCTCGGCCCCCTTTTATTCTCTCTTTATGTCAATGACTTGGCTACTGCTAGCCGCTCTCCGGATGACATGATTGCTAAGCTACAGGGTGATTTCAACAAACTACATCAGCTAGTTGCTCTTAAACTATTCCTGAATACCTCCAAAACCAAGGTGAAGTAATTTTTCCCCAATTGCATTCCTTGAATAATTATCAAATAGAGCAAGTCAAGATCTATAAGTATCTTGGGGTCATCCTGGATTAAAAACTAAATTTTGAAGATCACATTGATTATATTGGTAAAAATAAAAAATAAAAATTGGTTTTCTGTATCGACACAAGCACTGCTTCCCCCCAATGTTCCGTTTGGAATTGATAAAAGCTACCATACTGCCTCTACTTGACTACTGTGACATCGTGTATAAATCAGCCCCAAGTACTGTACTGAAGAAGCTTGATTCCATCTATCACTCGGCCTTAAGATTTACATTGAACTGCCCATATAGGACTCACCACTGTGATCTCTACACTGGGTCAAACTTAACATTTCTTAATGTTTGACGGCTTGTACACCAGATCTTATTTATTCACGATGTACTTACAAAAAAATCCACAGACTACCTGCTGGATCTCCTCTCTGTTTCAAAGAACAAATTTGACCTCAGGTCTTCGCTCATTTACCAGCTTCACATTCCCTATTGCCGTACAAAAAACGGAGGAAGGGCCTTTGCTATTGATGCCCCCAGGGTCTGGAATGCTATTGCCAATAAACTGAAACTTGAATCGCTACCAATGAGATCGTCTCTCAAAACTGCTCTAGAGGAGTTGTACACCCCTAGCTGCCACTGCTATTCATTGGCGTAAAATAAAATCAAATGTTTCGCTCCGGATGATGCTGCAAAGTATTATCTGTATTTTGATTTAGCGTGCTGATCTTAAAGGTGCATTGAAAAATGTGATACTCCGACTGATGCTCCTGCTGTTGTGGAGTAACTCATGCAGCCAGCTATGGCTCTAGGATTTGGTGTTACATGTCACTTTTGTAATTTATTGTAAAAAAAATCGTTCACAGTCCCTATGATCACGGTTACGTTGCAATTATGGCTTTATTTTTTGGTGATTTCGAAAACGTGTTTTAGTTTGGACATGTTTGTTTTGTTGTAGTACGGAGTTAGACTGATGGCCTTAATCTAAGTTGTCTTGTGGTTGTTGTTGTTTGACTTGCATCCCACTGGGATTTTTTGCACACAGCGTTGGTGTACTGTGCTTTTTTCTAGAATATTTTTGCTGTCTTTTTTTTCATGGATTTTCTGTTTGCACAGTCACACAGTCACTTTAAGATGTTTTTCTTGTTCATGTTTTTTGTTTGTTGTGGTTGCACCCGATTCAAGAGCCGAATGGCTCACAGGGCTATACCAAAATATATTAACTGAAATGAACTGAAGTATTAAAAGTAATTATAACTATTCAAAAAATACTTGAAACTTTGTAGTAGAACGAAGCAAAATGGAGAGTACAATTATAACAATCACATTCATTTCACAGAATGAAAAGCCCTGGTAGAATAATTAGAATCAAAATGTTTAATAACAATTATTCGAAAAAAATTCAAAAGTTATGCTTCTCCATTCTCTCATGGAGAAGCGTAATGCTCCTTCATGGAATAAATAAAAGGTGACCTTAGTAAATTAAAATAATCAAATAGTTAACAATTGTATTTAATTAAGTAAAACGTGTTGCTTATATTTAAAGTTGCGCGTTTTGATGTGACGTCACTTTTCTCAACCCCCCCTCGTCACACATCGTCACAAATGTCTGACCCCCACCCTCATAGGTGTGTGACGTCATTTATGGACGGCCGCATAGGTGCTGCTGCTGCTCGCTAACAGCACTTCGGGGATCTTTGGGGCGAGGCGGGGAGGGGGATTACAATTCCCACATCGGATCGGCGCGGAGCGGACCGGCCGATTGTAAACCGCACACCGCATAGACACGGCGCGCGGGCAATAAGAAAACCGTACGACAGATGAGCAGGAAGCCGCGCCTTGCCTATTAGAAACCGTACCATGGATGGGTATTGAACGCGCGTCTGAGAACTGGAAATCATCCATCGCTGTCAACCCCTTAGGGGCCGTTCATAAATGACGTCACGCGATTTTGGACGATTTTTGCCCCCCCCCCCCAGTCACGCGGCGTCACAAAAAGTCAGATCCCACCTCAAATATGACGTCACAAAGCTCTGTCCCCCCCCCCAAAAAAA